AGTAGCATCTATCATTTAGTGTCTCGGAAGGCTCCATGCCATCAGACAGAAAACAGACCATGGGAGGATGTGGAGCTGCCTCCTTGTTTTGTGTGGTAGATAGAGCCTTCGCTCTGCCTGAGCTTTCTGGAAATGACGGGCCAAAAAACCCCCAGCACAAACATGGAGCAGCGCTGCCAGGCTGATGACCTGGGGCCAGGGACAGATCAGTGCAGGGCTGTCCCCAGCCCTTGTCCCTCTCCATAAGGCCCCCAGCACGGGCACCCCCAGCCCTCCGCACATGTGCCACCTCTTGCCCACGGTGTTTTCTTCATTTGTGCTGAGATCAACGAAAGAATTTGGGAAATATTTTTAAGTGCGGAAGAGCAAAGCAAGTTTTGGCTTGTGATTATGGCTGGTTTGGGTAAGAGTTAGCAGGAGTTCCCAATCCAGTCAGGTATGAAGGGAAGGGAGGGCTCTGAAAGCTGTTCAGCAGCATGCCAGAGCGTAGCAAGGCGTTATTTACAGCATGTGTGTTTTAACACGACTTGAAATTCATAAACAATAATACTGACAGCTTGGCTGTGCTTCTTCACGGCATTCCATCCAAAACAAGAGATTTTTACAATTTGTACTCTCTTCAGAGCTGGTTGGGACTTTTTGGGTGAAACACTTGATTTGACAAAGCCATCCCTCTTCGCAGAAGTGGTTGTGGGATCACAGAATGATTTGAGTCATCAAAGATCATCTATTCTAACCCCTCTGCCGTGGGCAGGGACATCTGACAATAGATTGGGTTGCTCAAAGCCCCATCCAGCCTGACCTTGAACACTTCCAGGGATGGGGCATCCACAGCTTCTCTGGGCAGCCTGTGTCTTGTTTAATCTTCTGTCAGGAGGTTTCTCAGGTCAACGCCGGACACAAAGCCCAAAGCAAAGCACCCAACAAGCAGGAGAAGAAGGACACTTCTCAATTCACGCTAGAGACCCAAATCTGTGAGTCCTAGCCTGCAGGCAAAGTGCCTGGTGACTGAGCCTCCCTCTGTTCTGGGACAGTCTCTTTCTGTCAGGCTCTCTGTCTTTGCTTTCTTCAATTATGGTTCTCTGTTAACATTTTACAGGGGTTATGATTTTATTCCATATCAAATCAACACAGATCCTGCAGCATTCCTCAAAGGACACAACTCCCGTTTGCTGCTTGGCCCAAGTTATCATGGAAATTATTAGCTTCCTTAAGCATTTATTGTACTCACCAGAAATACAAGCTTTCCCTGTTTCAATCTGAAACACTGTGCACGGAAAGGAGAAAATTCCACGTAGTACCACAAACATCATGCTTGAAAGAAGGTGGTATGTTAATTAATAAAGTCTGGGAGCTACTGGTTTAACATATTAATGAATTTGTTGTGCAGAGAGAGATGGAAAGATATATTTCCTTATTAGATCTTTGAATGTCTGATACTTTTATTGTAATTATGTTCTATTTCGTGTCTCTCTTACAAACACTCAAATAGTGTTTCTAATAGTATAATTGTGTTAGATAATTACTTCAGCAAAGGGAAGGAGAAATAAGGGGATATAGGCCGGATGAACATACTCAGAACTCGAAATAGATGGGACACCTGTGGGAAGGAAGAGAGGTCCTTTAATAACTGCGGATCTGCAGAGGAATAAAGAAACGTATCAGACAGTGGGTCAGAAGAGCCAGGAGGAAAGAATCGTGTGTTTCCCAAAGGGTTTT